TGTAAAAAATCGCAGAGTTTTTTTTTTAATTTTTTTGCAATCCACTCGAATGATTATTTTCCATTCTTTCATCAACGGCATAATTTCACATAATAATAATGCCTTTTAGTATTTAAAATCAATACCTACTTATACCTATTACAACTAACAAACTTGACATTGACGACAAACAAAGTGCTTGCACCAAGATAATTGGCAAATTATTAGATGAGCTATACTCAATATAAATTCGTGTGTTTGTTATTAGAAAATAGAAAACCGCTTGTAACTTAATTATTGACTTTTTATCATCTCTATCTTTTTTAATTTCATGTTTTGTTGAAGTACTAGAATAATTCGTCATTTTTTGTCTACTGGACGTCAGTAGAGGTAGATAGTTAGTTCCGCATCCGCCAACGCTGGAGGGACGCCTCTGCGCATGTGAAACGAGTTACCGCGACGCACTGTTACCTGTCGATCCGAGACCTGTCAGCTGTCATCTCGTCACCTATCACCCTGTCACGGGCCTGCTGTTCCCGTTTTATTCTACGATCGAAAACCGTTAACTTTTGGTTGATATGCGTCCTATGAAATTTTCCGCTCAACTATGTATTGTTGATTTTTTAATTTTCATCAGAAATGCTAACAAGCATTGACGATTATCATGTGTATCAAGTTATTAAACGTAAGGTGCTCATAGTAAAAATTAGTTCACGATTATCATCAAGGAAATATTATTGTTTCCATGCCCTGATACGAATCAGATTTGTCATTATTGCCCTTATTTAGAAATTTTTCTCTCAATTCAATTTCAATTTTATGTCCCGCAAGCTACTTTCAATAATATAGATTTATATGCATAAAACTCAGTCAAACTAGGTACCTAGCAAAATCTCTTATTTAATTTTATACGTAATTTGAATTTGGCGAATTTTTTTTAGACTCTTCTATAAAACAGGACAATTCAAAAGGATATAATTGGCAACGAAGAAATTGAAATTCCAACATGCAGTTCTTAATTGAAATTTCTTGTGCCTAAATTAATGACATATGGAATCGAACCGGAACTAGGTATACACGGTACTTATATGCTATTAATAGGAGTGAAAGATATCCACAGAAATAAGGGGCTATAATGATTATATATTCTGTGTTTTGAACGTGTTTTTTTTTTGTCCTCTTGAAAAATCCGATAACGATTTGTAAAAAGCTAGGCGCTTTTATTCCGTTAAAATGAATTTTACTGGTTTTCAGATTTCCTTATCAACCATAATAAGGACGGATTCTCAATAGAATGACCTCCAGAGAAACTCACGTACTTACCTAACTGTTTTTTTCTAGGACTTGTACTTTTCGAGATAATCGGCATTTTTGGATGTTAGGATTCATTCCTTTTTTCCCGAATAATTTAGCGATATGAATAAACTATTCAAGTTTCGTTGGAAAGCTGAGAAATTGACGATTAATAGAGAAATAAAATTGCGTTAGATAACTGATCAACGCAAGAATTACGAAACAAATAAATGATTGACGAAATATTACCGAAAAAGATTGATGGAAATATAAATGACATTGTTACGATTGAGCTGCGAGCTTGCGAAAAGCTGAATTTCGTGACGTAGGAAAATTGAATCATTGCGATTTATCAATCTTTAATTCTTTGTCGAGAATTAATACCTGAGAGCTGCTTCAATAGATTTTGTTTCATCCACTATAAACTCGTTCATTTCACTACTGTTGCATTATCTTTCGGATTTTTAACTATTTCAGTTCACTTGCATTGACGTCGACGGTCCTCATGGCTTATATAACATTTCACACAATTCTCTTCTAGAAATTTTCGAGAAAGGTGAATCCGTAATACGCTAAAATATTTCATCAACGCCTAATTCTATTGTTGAAAATTTTAGTACCCGGGTATAAAGGGGTTGATTGATAATCAGAAAAAGTATTGAGAGCTATCTCTGTTATTCCATGCCCTAGGAGGGTGAGTTTTCCTTAACTTAGGAAAAACCTGAAGTTGGCAATCTAGCACCATCGACTAATCGACTCTATTTTAATAGTAACTATCGAGTAAAAGTCATCGATGCTTATTGAAGGAAACATAGTAAATTAAACAAATGAGATAGCGACTGTGTTTCAAATCGCCATAACTTGTAAGCCTGTTTGCATCTGATTACAGTGAACTGTATGTATCCCACGGGGCAAATCTGCTCAAATCCCTTTCCGATTTTACATTTAGGCGACAATTTGGAAATATTGAGAATGGAAATTCACTTAACAGAGAGTAGACACTATAAAAATAGTGACGGACGAATAAGAAAAAAAATCAGTTTAGAGGAATATCCTTATGCTACACGTTTCGATGTTAGGGAATTTTTTGAATAAACGGGCCCAAGATTTATGTCACGCACGCCAGAGTCGTGAGATTGGTGTCAGAAGTGGGATATAATTCGAGTAGTGCAAAGTGAAATCCGATTGCAGAGTAGTGTGGACACTAATGTGGACACTAAGGGACATATTCTCCGTAGTTCATAAAGCTTGGCTTAGTGGAAACGCTTGGCTTTTTGTGTGACAAAGCCGAGCTCTTCCACTAAGCCAGGCTTTATGAACTACGGAGAATATGGCCCTAAGTGAACACTGGAACGATTAGTCAGTGTAAGCAGTGACAATCATGAAAAGAGACAACCGATCGTGTAAATTACCCCGGAAGTGACTGTATACCCGAATTTGATTGTGATAGTGAATTTTCAAGTTCAAGTTCTAGAAAATTCTATTTGGAAACTAAGGGAAGTATCAAATTTCTGACTTCGCCGACGTATTTGATAAAGTGCGACCAGCAAGAATTTGCCGGCAGCAAATATGCGAACTAATATTTCTATCTCGCCCGATTCCATTGCTACTATTGCTTCTACTATTTCCATATCGTTTTTTCCTCCCCCTTCACCTCAGACCGAAATGCACTTTTCTCAGTTGCCAACCTATACATCAATCGTCATTCAGGAAAAAGATTTTCCCGGAATTCCTCGAAAATCTTTTTTCTGAATGACGATTGATGTATAGGTTGGCAACTGTGAAAAATGCGTTTCGGTCTGAGGTAGGAAAAACGATATGGAAATACACAGTAGCAATGGAATAGAGCGAGATAGAAATATTAGTTCGCATATTTGCCGCCGGCAAATTCTCGCTGGTCGCACTTTATCAAATACGTCGGCGAAGTCAGAAATTTGATACTTCCCTTAGTTTTCAAATAGAATTTTCTAGAACTTGAACTTAACAGTAAAAATCGGGTATAGTCACTTCCGGGGTAATTTACACGATCGGTTAAGTCTCTTTTTGTGATTGTCACTGCTTACACTGACTTATCGTCCCAGTGTTCACTTAGTGTCCACATTAGTGTCCACACTACTCTGCAATCGGATTTCACTTTGCAGTACTTGAATTTTTTTCCACTTCTGACACCAATCTCACGACTCTGGCGTACGTGACAGAAATCTTGGGCCCGTATATTCAAAAAATTCCCTAACATCGAAACGTGAAGCATAAGGATATTCCTCTAAACTGTTTGTTTTTTTCTTATACGTCCGTCACTATTTTTATAGTGTCTACTCTCTGTTAAGTGAATTTCCATTCTCAATATTTCCAAATTGTCGCTTAAATGTAAAATCGAAAAGGGATTTGAGCAGATTTGTCCCTTGGAATACATTGGCTTGCAGTTCACTGTAATCAGATGCAAACAGGCTTACAAGTTATGGCGATTTGAAACACAGTCGCTATCTCATTTGTTTAATGTACTATGTTTTCTTCAATAAGCATCGATGACATTTACTCGATACTTACTATTAAAATAGAGTCGATTAGTCGATGGTGCTAGATTGCCAACTTCAGGTTTTTTCTAAGTTAAGGAAATTATGCACAAACTCAAATATGAAATCTCAATCTCCTAGGTCATGGAATAACAGAGATAGCTCTTAATTTTTTTTTGCTTATTAATCAACCCCTTTATAGCTGATTACTAAAATCATGAAATATCCTAGCGTATTACGGATTCACCTTTTCGGAAATTTCTAGAAGAGAATTGTGTGAAATGGTATATGAGCCATGAGGACAGTCGACGTCAATGCAAGTAACTAAAATCCGACAGAAAATGCAACAGTAGTGAAATGAACGAGTTCGTAGTGGATGAAACCAAATATATTAAAGCAGCTCCCAGCAGCTTTGACGGTATTAATCCTCGACAAAGAATTGATTGATATTATATTGGAATGTATTCAGTTTTCCCACGTCGCGAAATTCAGCTTTTCGCAAGCTCGCAGCTCAATTGAAACAGTGTCATTTATATCTTCATCAATATTTTTCGGTAATATTTCGTCAATCATTTATTTGTTTCGTAATTCTTGCGATGATCAGTTGTCTAAGACAATTTTATTTCTTTCCTAATCGTCAATTTCTCAGCTTTCCAACGATACATGAATGGTTTATTCATATCGCTAAATTATTCTGGAAAAAAGGAATGAATCCTAATATCCAAAAACGCCGATTATCTCGAAAAGTACAAGTCCTAGAAAAAACAGTTACGTGACTTTCTCTGAAGTTCATTCAATTAGGAATCCTTTCTAAGTTGATAAGGAAATCTGGATACCAGTAAAAATCATTTTAACGGAATAAAAGCTCCTAGCTTTTGGCAAATCGTTATAGGATTTTTCAAGAGGACAAAAAAAAACACGTTCAAAAAACAGAATGTCTAATCATTTTAGCCCCCTATTTCTGTGCATATCTTTCATTTCTCCTATAAATAGCATGTAAGTACCGTTTATACCTAGTTCCAGTTCAATTTCATATGTCATTAATTTAGGGACAAAAAATATCGCCTCGTTTGCACTTTTCATTGTTTTCTATCCCATACCCTTCCGGACGCAGATTTCAATCAAGAAGCCTGGGATTAGCCATCATCCGCACTGGACTGTCACACAATGGCTCCTCTTGCCAAAACAGATGTTCCATTTTCTTTCTAAACAAAGTCATTTGATGGAATATTTTTCGTGTAGTCGTGATTTTAATTGAGAACTGCATGTTTGAATTTCAATTTCTTCATTGCCAATCATATCCTTCTGAATTTTTCTGTTATATAAAATAGTCTAAAAAAATTTTGCCAAATTCAAAATACGTATAAAATTAAATAAGAGATTTTGCTCCGTACCTAGTTTGACTGAGCTTTATGCATAGAAATCTCTATTATTAAAAGTAGCTTGCGGAACATAAAATTGGAATTGAACTGATGGAGATATTTCTAAATAGGGGCAAGAATGTCAAATGTGATTCGTATCAGGGCATGGAAATAATAATATTTCCTTGAGGATAATCGTGAACTGATTTTTACTATGAGCACATTATGTTTAATAACTTGATACACATGATAATCGTCAATGCTTGTTGGCATTTCTGATGAAAATTAAAAAAACAAAAACACATAGTTACGCATTAATATGCCGAAAATTTTCATAGGACGCACATATCAACCAAAAGTCAATGGTCTTCGATCGTAGAAAAAATCGGGAACGTTTGATAACAGCAGGCCCGTGACAGGGTAAAGGTGAAGGGATGACAGCTGACAGGTCTCAGATCACCCAGTGCGTCGCGGTGACTGGTTTTACATGCGCAGAGGCGTCCCTCCAGCGTCGGTGAATGCGAAACGAATTATCTACCTCTACTGACGTTCGGTAGACAAACTACTACTTCAAAAAAGATAGAGATGATAAAAAGTCAATAATTAAGTTACAAGCGGTCTTCTGTTTCCTAGTAACAAATACAGGAATTTATATTAAGTATAGCATCATCTAAAATTATTTGCCAATTTTCCTGGTGTAAGCACTTTGTTTGGGCGTCAATGTCAAGTTTGTTAGTTGTAGTAGGTATGAGTAGGTATTGATTTTAGATACTGGAAGGCATTAGCAATTTGTGAAATTATGCCGTTGATGAAAGAATGGAAAATAATCATTCGAGTGAACTGCAAAAAAATACAGTATATTAGTGTTTTAGAATACCTCATGCCATTACGAAATAATGTAGGTACCTAATTAAATTCCTTCAAATACAGAAAAACTTTTCAAGCAAGGCAATTATCCAGAGGCAACATTTCGCTCGTTTTTTGTACAAGGGAAAAATTATATTAACTAAATCCAATATTCCATTATATCTAATGCACAATTATGACGTAAATAAATAAAATAAACTCTAGTAACTCTTAAACGACTTGACCCCGTTACGGTTCTTACCGTAGGAACTATTTATCCTCGGTCCACGATGACTAGGGTGATTATTAGTAATTGCTAAATCAAAATGGCGTTAGTCAGAACCTCGTTGCAGTTGTTAAAGCAATATCGACCAAATCATAAAATCATTTAATTTATTTATTTTTCCATTTGAACTTTGTTTCTAGAAGCTGTTTCAAGTAGTTTTGAGTTCAAACATTTGAATATTTTTTTACACTGTAACATAATTAGGTTAGGATTTTTGATATTTACGATTTGTTCTCAATAACCGTTTTTCAGTATCTTGACGTTGGTGTCATGACTGTCATGTCATTGACCATTAACGACATGAAAACAAACACAATGGAAAGTTAATAAAGATTGTGTCGTTTGATTTAATTATTAGAACCATAATTTTCTATTAAAAATATTAAACATACACATAATATATAATAATAATAAATTTGTTTATTGACATTCAAACATTACAATTTCAAATAATACAAATAGCAATTCTTTTAAGGTTGCCTATATGAAAACATGTAAATGGCAATAAACAGACTCACGTTTGAAGTGTTACACACTTGTTGTGAGAAGGTTGTTTGTGAAGGAATACTTCACAGTTTTATAGTCTTAATCGGTTAGAAAAGTCTTGATCGGTAAAAATGTCTTAATCGAGGATAACGTCAATTTCGAGTTTTTTAAGTCACATTCGAGAATATATTTGCCACATCATATCACTACAGAACACTTTTTTCAAGTCACTTAGATTATATTTTTAATAAGGTCATTTGCACCTTTAATCCAGTTTTTAAATTCCTTTTTAAATTTTTGAATTTTTCTTTCACCTTACACATAATCTGGGATAATGTTGTACAATCTAGGAGCAATATAGCCAATATGTCTATTGCTTATTGTTTTATTGGCTCTTGGAAGTTTAGACTTTTTATTAACTACATTTCTTGTTTGGTGCGGGTGACTCATGACTTCAATTTGTTCTTTATTTTTGAAAATCCTTAAAGCTACCTTTTCACACATTAACTGCCTGATATTTAAAAGTCCGCTTTCATTGAATAGCTTTTCTGTGGAATATTTTCTATCTTTGTTGAAGATTACTTTAAGGATCCATTTTTGAATTGTATTTAGTTTTGAAATATTAAAGTCATTAACGCCACCCCACCCGCAGAGGCCATATGTCAAGTGAGACTGAACAAGTGCAAAGTACAAAGTTTTGAGATCAGACATCTTAAAATATTTTCTGAAACATTGAAATCTAGACACCAAATACCTGAGCTTTTTTACAAGGTTATTTACATGCAAATCCCACCTTAAGTGTTGGTCTATAGTAATTCCCAGATATTTAACCGATTCCACTTGTTTTATACTTCTAGAACCCGCAATAATTAAGCTACCACTGATAGGCAACCCTGTTTTATAAGACGAAAACGGCAAATAATATGTCTTATCTATATTTACTGTAAGAGAATTATGATTGAACCAGTTTTGTATTTGTTTGAAATCTTCTTCAGCTATTTGCTTTACTTCCGGCCAAGGGTCCGCACTGAAAAATCCGGCTGTATCATCTGCAAAACTTGCCAAATCGCCTCTGGTTTTTACGGAAAATAGGTCATTGATGTAAACGATGAATAATAATGGACCGAGGACCGTTCCTTGTGGGACGCCATACTTTACAGTTTTCATTGAGCTAAAAGTATCTTCAATTTGCACTGTTTGATTTCTATCCTTTAGGTAACTCATAAGCAGCTCAAGGCACGGTCCTCTAAGTCCAATCCGTTCCAGTTTCCTGACAAGCCTTGCATGATCCACCGTATCAAACGCTTTGGCAAGATCGACGAGAATGCAAAGTGAAGGTTTTTTGTTGTCTAATGAATCATTAATTTTTTTAGTTAAATTCACTATTGCATCCTCAGTCGATCTGCCAGCTCTGAAACCAAACTGTTTTTCCGAGAGCAGTTTATGTTTTTCAAGAAAACCAATAAGTCGTTCCTTTATTGCCATTTCGAAGACCTTTGCAACAGATGAAATGAGAGTTATAGGTCTATAATTTATGATATGCTTTTTGTCCCCTCCTTTATATATTGGTTTAATAATCCCAATTTTTAAGATTTTAGGAAAATATCCAGTTGCAAAGCATTCGTTTATTAAGAAGGACAGATGTGGCGATATTACTTGTGATATATTTTTTAAAGATTCCGCTCTAATTTGGTCATGTCCTGGAGTTTTTTTTGATTTTAGTTTTTTTATAAGGTTTTGAATTTCTGTGGGTGTGGTTGGGGTTAAAAAAATTGAATTTAAAGTCTTGGGTTGTTCCTCTGGTGTCATATGTGGGGGTTTTATTTTTTTTGCATAGATTTCTCCAAGTTCAGAGTAGTGTTTATTGAAAGCTTCTACAATGTCTGTTGTATTTGTGTATGTTGTGTTATTATTTACTATTATTTGTTTCATATCTAGATCTGTTTTTTTGTTGTTATTTGTTATGTTGTTCGTCATTTTCCATAGCCTTTGAGAGGAATTTGTGGCGTTTTTCACCTGTTTTTCGTAATACCGCTTTTTAGCGTTGTTTATTTCGTTTGTTAAATTATTTTTATATTTTTTATAATTGTTATGCAGTTCTTTGTTCTCCGGCTGTAACTTTACTTGTGTGTACATTTTATTTTTTTGGGAGACAGCATTTATCAATGTCTTTGTCATCCAGTTTTCAGATTTTATTTTAGAAGTAACTGTTTTTGTGCAAGCCTCAGTTGTTGATTTAATTTTTTCAATCAGAATTTCTGCCGCGCTCTCTAAATTCTGGGTTCTATAAAAATTGTTCCACGTTTCAGGAGCTTGCAGTTTGTTAATCACTTCCTTGTAATTTGTGTAAATTTTTTTAAAAGTCTTTTGTAAAGAACGTTTTTGCCTTTTTTCAGATTCTATAAAAGCCATAATTGGAAAATGGTCTGTTAAATTGTGTTCGAAAATGATGGACTCTATTTTTAGCTGTTTCTTGTTTGATCTTAGAAATATATGATCCAGGCAAGAATACTGATTACCTCTGACCCTTGTTATTTTATTTATGTATGGCAGGAACCCGTTGGCATACATACAATTAAGGTATTCATCTGAGACATTGGTTTGCTTCAAAATGTCAACATTGAAGTCTCCAATAATAATTTGACAAGTTTTTATTGGTTTTTCTTGTAGGTAATCATCCAGACTCTCTATGAAATTTAAGCAGTTAATCTCATGAGATCTATACAGTGCAGTTAAATCAAATTCAGTTTGATTTATGCTAAAGTTCAGTTCAATGCCCAGTGTAAGCCCAATATTGCATATTCTAGAAGCATAACGAATATCTGACCTGATAAAAACTACTGTACCATCGTTTCTATTTAACCTACTATCATTGTAAATAAAATCGTAATCTGGAATGTGAAATTGACTTGGATCATAAATTATAAATGTTTCAGTTAGCACAATAACGTCAAACTGTTCATCTAATCCTTTGATAAATATAAGAAGTTCGTCTAAATTTTTTGCAATGCTACAAACATTAATATGGAATAGTTTTAGTGAATGTTTAAACTTTTTAGCTTTTTTTTGATAATCTTTAACGTTGTTAATTGTCAAGCATTCATGATTTGTAGGAGTAAATTTCTTTATATATTCATTCATGTTTTATTTAGAAACGTTGCCACCAACACTATATATAATATTATATGAATATGAATGTCAATAAGTAGCATACATACCAAATTTTACTAAATTACTTTTGTCGAGTTGAGCGACTAGATGATCGAGTTGCCTTCGTAGGATAAGTATCTACCGCAGCAGGATTTCTGGTTATTACTTTTCTTCTTGGGTCTTGTTTGTCTCCTTTTTTATCGTCTGTTCCTGTTTTTGTATTTTCTTGCAGATTTGCTGGTTTATGCTCTTCAATTGGTGTCGCGGCTACTTGTTCAGGGGTATCGTCTACTGCTACGAAAAAGTCGTTCGAATCATCTTCCGTCAGGGATAACGCAGATAAACCTGGGACGCTTACAGAGCGCCTCGGAGGCGGCCCATAAAAAACATCTTCGTCTAAATCACCAGATGTCGATTTGAAAATATCACTTTGTAACAGATCTTCGTATATGTAAATATCGTTTCCCACATGTAAATTGTTTTTTTTAATGAAGGCCGTAAGTCCAAGTTTTCTAGCTTCTTTAAGGTTACTATATAGAACTTTATTAATCTCTCTTTCAGCCTTAGTTAGATCGTTCGATAAAAAGACAGATTTTCCTTTTAGTTTGCGGGCGTTTTTAAGCAAGATGTCCTTTCTAATGTAAGTTGTTAATTCAACTAAAAGTGGTTTTTTTTCGGTTTCTGGTCTGCCCAAATAGTACGTATTATTTATTTCATTAGCATTAAGGTCTACTTCCAACAGGTTTTTAAGTTTATCCACTACCCATCTCACTAAGTTTTCTCCTTTCAACTCAGTTTTATTTGGAAGCCCATATATGATAAGATTATTTTTCCTAGCCTTAATTTCTAAAATATTTATTTTTAATTCTAAATCTTGATTTTTGTCTTCAAGAGTTTTTATTTTGTGTTTTAAAACATGATTTTCCTTAATTAAATCATCGTTCACTTTTTCTATTTTACTGCTGAGATCATTGCTGCTAGCAATAATTAACTTTTTAATCTCTTCTAACTGATCCTTATTGCTTAAATATCCTGTTGTATTTGGCATATTCCTTTTTACTTAGAAAATTAAAATTAAAATTTTAACGTGTATGTTCACCTCAAATATCTTTGGTTCACCTATACGCTTTTTTGTTTGCCGATCGGAATGTCTGGTTATTTCAATTTAGCAACAATGATTCAATTTAGGTACTTATAGAAGGCCAAAGTGCAAAAAAAAGTATGTGTACATACCAAGTGAATGTTGTTGATAACTTTTGCCACTTTTCGTAATTTAATTCAACGTAAAACTAGTAAAATTTAACATTTTTCACGAGACTTCTTTTAACAGGTTACTTGTTCTAAAGGCGACCACTACTACTTTCACACAATTAATTTAAATCATAAGTCTTGAATATTAGGTAATTCAATCCTGGTAAAATTTTACTGAATTCTGGTTTTGCTTCAAACTCTCTAGTATATAAACATTCAGAACTTCAAAAGGCAACCTTAAGTAGTTTTCCAAGGCTATGGAACACACCTGACCTGAAACATATCGATACGTGTGAATTTTTTTTTAAGACTAACCATTCGTAGTCAATCTATAGACAGGTAGAAAGCTCCACCAGTACATCAGTTCTGTCAAAACTTCAGTCACACCGCCTAAAACTTGTTATTGATTTATTTTTCTCGTTTAATCCAAAAGGCCATGGAAAGCAAAGCGGTTCGCATTATTCTTGAAAAAAAGACGTGAGCACTTTGTTTGATCTTATATTTTATTGTGTAGACATATTAAATCATGTCTGATTCAATTAGTGATTGTTAGATATTACTGGCAGTAGATTTTGTTTTCCAAGACTACTAACTGCACTTCTTAGATGAGAATTTCGAACTATCAATAATTATTATGAACCAGTTACCCAAATCTGAACTTGTTTTACTGGATCTAATTGGTAGATACTGTATTACAAATGAAATCATGACAATGTCAACTATTACCGCAGTTTCGCTCGAAAAGCAAACCATCTTTATATATTCTACAAACGATTATCCGCTAAAAAAATGATACTGGCCTCCTCAATATCCGGTGATATCAAAAGTAATGGAAAGAGTTGTGAACAATCACCTAACCAAGTACTTGGAAAAGTACAAAATTATCAACGATAAGCAATACGGATTTCGAAAATATAGGTCAACTGGCGATTTACTTACATACGTCACTCACTTATGGCAAAAAGCGATTGAGTTGCGGGGTGAAACAAGAACAATTGCCTTAGATATATCTAAAGCATTCGACAAAGTTTGGCATGAAAATCTGCTCAACAAGCTCAAAGCAATGGGATTATCGCCGAAACTTTGCACTTGGTTTGAAAGTTACCTAAAGGACAGATCCATTTATGTTGCACTGGATGGCCAGAACTCCAACTCTTACCAAATAAATGCTGGTGTGCCACAGGGAGCAATCCTTTCGCCAACTCTTTTTCTGATTTACATAAATGACCTCATAGATAAAACAGTAAATCCACTTTATTGCTTTGCAGACGATGGCAATGTAGTCTCCTCACTCATACCACCCACAGGTCTTTCCGCACGTGAATTCCATCATCTTAGACTAACTCAAATATCGCAGATAAATAACGACCTGGAGATAATAGAGGACTGGGGTAACAAAAACCTTGTACAATTCAACGCGCAGAAAACCCAAGCAGCTCTGTTTTCAAAAAAGACCAGCACCGGTGAGCCAAACATCATGCTATCTGGAAGTGCTGTCACATTACAGAGTCAGTTGAACATCTTGGGGGTTACTGCAGAGACCAACATGTCTTGGCACAGTCACGTGGCAGATATTGCTAAAAGGGCGTCCCAAAAGCTGGGGGTGCTATTTCGTACAAGACATCTGTACACACCAAGCCAATTGCTGACACTCTACAAAGCCCAGATTCGACCAACTATGGAGTACTGCTCACATATATGGAGTGCAGCACCCAAACATACCTTAATGCTTTTGAACACCGTGCAAAAACGAGCTATCAAGCTGATCAATGACCCCGCACTTACTCGTAACTTGGATGGTCTCGAACATCGCAGATCTGTGGGCGATTTGTCTCTCTTCTACAGGTACTATCACGGAAAATGCTCTGAAGAGTTGGCACGTATGATTCCACCGAGAGTAGCGCCTACCAGGCGAACCCGTCAAACAGACGGTAACCATGAATTTAGTGTCAAACTAGAGGCACCAAGAACCTCATTATATCAGAATTCATATCTCTGGAGAACAGCATCGCTGTGGAATAAACTCCCTGCGGCGGTTTTCCCTGCAGGTTACAACCTGAACCGTTTCAAGACCAACATACACCGACATTTCCGCGCACTTTCCGCTTCTCGAGCGTGATAGGACATTTCCTTGCGAGTGCGCATATCCGTAAAAAAAAAAAAATCTATATTTCTTGTTTGCAAAACTTTTTTTTGAATTCTCTTGCCCAAATAGATGACTATAATATCTAACAAAATTATGAAATAAATTCAGGACAATTGGATGGATGGTTTATGGAAAGTGCAGTATATCCCTCTGGTTTTGATACCCAAAGTACTTTTGGGATATATGACAAAACCATTCGAATAAATATTACTGTCCGACCGTCGAGAAAATTCACGTTTGAATTGTTTAATAGCCTGGCTGGACCCGGCTTACCTGGACATATTCTGTCAACTAAACAACAAACTTATATAATTCACTTATAATCACGATAATTGGGAATATCGATTATGTAAATATTAGTATATTACGCTGTCAGGTTTGGAAGAAGCCAATTACGCGCGAATGTAAAAGTTCAAGTATTTTGAAGTGCCTGATATTTGGACGACAATAGAGAGTGATTTGAAAAACGCGTCACGGGCAAATTTCGTTACTCGAGAGAGAACATATAACGTAAAGAGACGGTGAAAGACAGCTATTGACTGACACAAATCAAGGATTATAAGCGCAAATAGGATTGTCTATTATTGACAATCGCCGATACCCTTGTGACGTCACTACAGATGCGCGTCTTCCTTTTGTTTTACTATTATCATTGTGTTTTATGATTATTTTCGTTACTTATATATTTGTGTGCTGTCATTTTTTTTGATTATATCCGTGAACCATCATTATGTAATTATATTAAAATATTATCAATAATGATATTAGAGATGGGGAAAAACAGCCATTGATTGCCACAAATCAAGGATTATAAGCGCAAAGAGAATTGCCTATTATTGTCAAGCGCCGATACTCTTGTGATGTCACTACAGATGCGCGTCTCCCTTTTGTGTGGTCTTTCGTCTGTACCCCGACTTATATGCTAAGGTCGCTACTTTTAAGATGTATGAGGGGGGGATAGTTTTTGGGAAGTTTCACTTCTACCACGTGTACGGCGCTGCACATGATTTTTATTCACCAAATTAAGTGTGATCCTCTTAATTTGGCTACCATTTATTCTTGACAGTTTGTAGTATATTCAGAAGTATTACATTTTAATGATCACTATCAGTTAACATGTGATTCAAAAAATATTTCAAATTATTATGAAATCAGATACTCTTGTCAATACGAAAAATTTTCCAAAATAGTGTTCGAACATAAAAAACAGAAATATGAAGTAAATATGCCATCCTTGATTCAACTCATGCACAAGTAAAATCAAAAACGCACTTGGGCATTTTTCAGTCCAGTTTTGTGCGTCTATTATAGTAATTTTTGTAAAATTTTAATAGGATGATACCCTTACCATACTAGTCTACGATAAAATTAATTGAACCAAAGTTAAAAACATTTTCAAAATATGATGCTGGTTTCATTGAATTCATTTCATCGATGCGCAGGCGATAAAAATATAGAAAATACTAGCTGGTCCCCGCGGTTTCAGCCGCCGTTTAATTTGGAAGAAATCGGATTACTGCAATTTTTGAAAGATTTTTTTTTTGCGTGTGTGACAAATCCGCCTTGGATAGGAGTTCCGTGAAATCCGTTCTTTGTGGGGGTCTTCGGCGAGAAAAGAGTATATAGGTACTTCAAATTTCGAGTCAATCGGACGTATAGTTTTGGAGTTGGAGATCTCGTGATGAGTGAGCGAGTAAATGAGTCAGTGGTAGTTCCAGATATTAGCGCACAAACAAACTCCTCAGCTTTATATTATTTGAATTTTTATATTTTTTAATGAAAAAATATTACAGTTACGTCGATTGAATGTGCCAACTTAAATAAATGTGGCAACGTTGTTTCATGTTGATGTCAAAAAAAGTTCAACAGTGCGTTCGAAAACACCAGATAAAATTGACTCTTCTGAGGGTCAGTTTCTCAATAGCGAGTCACCTCCGGATAGGTTTTAACTCCAGGGCAAACGTGTCCAGTTGCAATGTTGACCCTGGAGTTATGCCTAACCCGGGGGTGACTTGCTATTGAGAAACCAGCTCTGATCACGTGACCATATACCCAATCTTACCCATTTTCGAACGCACTCCAAAAGTTGGGTTATGTATGTGAATGAAATTGTTTATAATTATTTATTTTTTTTTCAATATTTTTTTTTTATGAAAAGAAAAGTTTCCTATATTCTTAACTATACTCTTAAAAATATGTGTACAAAATTTCATGATGATCGGTTTGGTAGTTTACTCGGGAAAGCATAACAAATAAACAAACAAACAAACTCACATTCGCATTTATAATATTATAGTTAGGATAGTAGTTAGGATTGTATTTACCTTTCACTTCACGTGTCGTCTCCATCCTATACTGTTTAATAGAGAAAAATCCTCCCAATCCTCCTTATAACATAAAATAACAAACAAACAAATCGGAGGTTCAACACACCCTCATCTAATAGAGGCAACAAAGGGCAGCAGATTACATGGGATTTGTTAAATCAGTTTTATTTCCTTCGTTTCGACACACCTTCAAAGTTCCGGAAGTCGGAGAAAGCAGAGCCGTAGGAGTCGCAAAGTTAGGGCTAAATTCCCCGACATCTGGGTTAGCTTGATGAATTCTAACTTAGTTTTGCATTGTTCCGGAAATCGGATTTTCATGAAGGT